TGACTTTCTGAAGACGATATAATTCCCAGACTAATGTAGTTTTTCTCAGGACAAGATTATTAATTTTCATAATTACCACATATGGGCTGATGAAAACCCTCACGCTATTGTCGAAACTAACCATCAAGAACAGTTTTCTCTTAACGTGTGGCTCGGAGTTATTGGAGATGATTGAATTGGGCCTCATTTTCTACCTCCTCGATTGAATGGTGAGGCATACGTTCAATTTTTAAGAGAAGTGCATCCAGTACTGCTGGAGGAAGTTCCTTTGGGCGTCAGAAGGGATATGTTTTCTATGCATGATGGGGCTCTCGCCCATTTTAGTCAAGTAGCACGTCAGCATTTAACTGAAACATATGCAAATCAGTGGATAGGTCGAGGAAGGCCACAGAACTGGCCCGCTCGATCCTCGGGTCTCAATCCTCTCGATTTCTCTATTTGGGGCCATTTACAGCATTTGGTTTATCGTACTTCTGTTCGCGGTGTAGAGGACTTAAAAAACTGCATCATCGATGCGTGCAGGGTAATCAGAGAGACTCCAGGAATATTTGAGCGAATACGTGGCTCAATGCGCCGACGTCTAGACGCATGCGTAATGTCTGAAGGTAGACATATTGAACATTTACTATGATTTCTACATGTTGTGTGTTTTGTTATTAATAAATTAGTTTTGTTCATTACCCTTTAATGGTTTAATGCAGGTACTAACTACAAAATAACAATAAATCAAGTTCGCATTTATCACGATGTATTTCTGTAGTTGTTCATAAAATAATTTTTTGTTGCGAACTGGTTTATTTTGGGCAAACAACCCAAGAGACATTTTTTGTTTAGAATGAAACAGGCTATCGGAAATAAATTTTCAAATGGTAAACAAATAATAAGACAAAAAGTTACATTGGAAATCAATTTTAGGGGTGGCGTCCTGCAGGCCGCAAAAAAAAGTTTTATGGATCAAAAATGATAATCAACAATATTATTTTTTTTTCAACGCATGTAACACTTTATATATACAGAACCATCTAGTATCTAATATTAGAACTAATATAATCCTTCGGAACGCAACTGGACTTCATTCACGTTGGGGGAATCCCCGTTCGTTGGGTGCGTTCTGTAAGCTTCCGTAGCGTGATAATAATTTGTAGCGAAATAATTCCGAAACTTTCCAAATACATTAATTACAATATGTGAGTTTTGCGATTGTAAGGTAAATTTAAAATAGTTTTGGTGTGCTCCGTGTTTGAAGACGGAGCACACTACACCAAAAGTCTAAAAAATTCAGAACGCAGCGAGTAAGGGAAATCCCCGATTCGTAGGATGCCATCAAGAGCGTTTTACGTCAGTGAATTGAAAAACACTTTATGCTTTGTGTTTACGCTGAATAGGAGTAGAGTATTAGTTCTTATTAAGAACACTGTCTTAAAAACTTAACGAGAGAATAAATCTTGATTATAAAACAGAATTAAATAGGGTAAGTTTAATAATTATTCGTGACATTATAATTTGACCAATAATAGGTACCAAGATCTTTATTTTTCTGAAAATTTAACCATTTCTTTGTCTGAAGAATCGTATAAATTGATCCTTAATAATATGGTTCAATCAACTTTCCCAAATGTTATAATAGCATTGCAAATTTATAGAAGTTGGATGATAACAAACGCGACAGGAGAACGAAATTTTTCAAAATTGAAATTATTAAAAAATTCTCTTCGAGCAACAATGCCTCAACATCGCTTAAATTCATTGTCGATAATGGCAAATGAAAACGATGTATTGGAAAAGGTCCACATTGAAGAAGTCGTAAAAGATTTTATATCTTAAAAAATTAAAAAAGTCCATATTCAAATTAACAGAAGGTAGTGAAACTACTTCAGTTTTTCTTTTGTTTATTGCATTTGGTTAAATATATATTTTAAATTAAAAATAACTGAGCCGTGTTTAATTTTTCATGTATACATAGAAAACACCTAGACTTAGGGCGGAATCAAACGTATGCGTACTCTACGCGTGTGCTGCGCGGGTGACTGTACTAACACGCAGCCAACCTGCGTATGTCTGAACCCGCCCTTAGGACGTCATCCATGCTTATATCGGGAATTGTGTTCAGGAATGTGGGTAGAAGGCAAACAAATACATCACATGATTTTGTCACTCAGAGTAGGTAAAGAAAAGGGGCCCGAAAACTATTGCCTACAGGCCCATACAGGGTTAATCCGGCTCTGGTTGCAAGGATATTTAACCAACACCATCCTGAACGAAGCGTTCGCCATAAGTACGTACTGGAATTGATTTCAAAATTTGTGGAGACGGGTTCAGTAATGGATAAAAAAAGGCCACCCATTGGAATTGTGAATGATGAAGGAGCAGCTGTGGCGGTATTGGGACATGCCCAACTTATGCCAAACACGTAATATGTACGACAACTTCATGCAGTTTCCAGTATTAGTTAATATATAACGTTTCCAGAATTTTACATAGACACAAGTTCCATCCGTACAAAATTGAATTAATTCGCGAATAAAATTATGATGATTGGGATCGCAGGCAAGAGTTTTGCGAAATTATGGCCGAGCGTATCAACAATAACCAAAATTTCTTGTACAACGTCTGCTTTTCTGAGTAATACTCTTTTTTACTCAATAGAGAGGTTAACCGGCATAACTGTAGAATTTGGAGCGATACAAATCCTCATTTATTTCGAGAAGCCCACACTCAACATCCAGAAAAGCTAAACGTTTGGGTAGGAATTTTGGGAGACCACCTAACTGGATCTCTGTTTATTCCTGGTAATATAACTGGCGACCGTTATCTTGAAATGCTGGAAAATGCGATGGATCCGTTAATAACTGAACAGTTAGAAAACGATCCTCTACTACTTGAACAACAATTGCATTTCTAACAAGACGGAGGTCCTCCGCACTGCGCCGCACTAGTTCGCCAATACCTCAATTTGCAATACCCCGGTCGTTGGATTTTAAGTTTATTCAAGTATTGCATGTACAAAAAAAATACATTTTTTTTACAAAATGGGGTTAGATTTGCTCTCTGAGTAAAATATACCTAGGCATAATTGCCTGTGTGTGTGTTTTATCCAGGGCTTCTCAAAACAAAACTATTAGTATTGTACATAAAATTATCTTAAAAATTTTGGCGGGCAAAGATTTACAAGATAAAAAAATAAGGAAGGTAATTAACTCTTATGTAAAGCATAACTTCAAAACACCTGTATATTTAATGTGTGCACGTTTTAACAAAATTCTGAAAGATATTCGACGATTTGTAGAGGACAGGGATAGCAGCAAATGATGGGTGTATTCACTATCGTTGTATTTTATAGAAAGTTTCCTTGCTTTTCAGGATAAAGTTCTTTATTTCAGTTTTGAAATTTCTTAGTTTGTCAATTTTTTTTAAATGTACGCCATTGTAAAATTTTGGACCGAAACGTTCTCTGGGTTATAGCTTTTCTAAATGTATGTATTGCTAATTCTTCATTACTAGTTTGTCTGGTTGGTTGGACAGATCTGCTTCGAAGTGAGTATTTAGTTGTGTAAACTCGAATTATACATTGATGAACATACAAAAGACTGATTGGTAGGATTTTTGTTTCTTCATATAGGAAGAAAATGTCCCATGGATTGGCCTGCCCGATCTCCTGACCTCAACCCTCTGGACTTCTTGTGGGGACATCTCAAGTCCAAAATTTTTGTGACTCACCCAGAAAATTTGGACGAATTACGCCAAAGAATTGTGAATGAGTGTCGTCAAATAACTCCAATTATGCTGAACCATGTCAGAGACGGTTTTCAGTCAAGATTGTATTATAGTATGGAAAGCAATGGAGGAAATTTTGAACATTTGATTCAAACACGCAGATTTGATTTTTTTATTGTAAGCATGACGATAAAACAATTCAATTTTTTCAAGAATTTGATTTTCTGTAGATTGTTTGAGTTTGTAAAAAGCGCCTCAGTAAAATGGGCTTCTACATGTAAAAATAACCAAATTATTCAAGGTGGCTCATTCGAGCTGCAAAATTGATTTTTGGCGAAAACGGTTCATCAACTTCACGTTTGGAACCTCGACACTGAGCCGTATCAGTGGTTAGGTTTCTCGACCACAGGTGTCGGATGACAAGTGGGCATTTGCCGCTAGCTTCAGTGAAGAAGGGGTGGTTCGATAAGATGTCACTGAATTTCAAGTTATTTATGGGCGCCAGGTAAATTAAATTTCCAGACAAATACCCGATTTCGCAAACTCAATCTTCCAATTTACCAACTCCGATTGAAACAACAAACCGTAGTACTAAACCAATTTATTAACATCAATAATCATAGTTTTTCATGTAGTTTTATCTTTTACAGATTTAACGAATATTATGATGCAAATTGACCTGTTTGTAGGTGTTCCTTTAGGCAGTACCAAAATACCAGACTCAGACTCAATATACAAGGTGTTCTAATAAAATATGTTCTCTAGATAATCTTTGTAATAGTTTTATGTTGAACTAGTAAATGAATGAAATAATTATAGTAAGGTAGCGTGTTATTACTAACATACCTGAGGTTCAAAATGAACGTAACACGTTATTCATACACCGTTGTAAAGAGGATTCCAAGACCTTGCAAATAAAGTATCACTCAACCCCTCTCCCCTATTCAAGTTTGAGGGGTTGAAGAGCCCCCTATTAGGGGGTTGCTCGTCCAAGTCTAATAGATATACGTCAAAAGATGTCCCCCAAACAAAATCATTCGACGTGTTTCGGGAAATTTTTCCACTCACCATGGGATAAGAAATATACGGGCTGGCTCGTCTGAGATGGAACACCCTGTATAAAATAGTTTCCAATGTCTGACTATCGAATGACTATAATTTGAATACAAATGCATATGTTTCATCCTGGTTCATCTCTTCATTCAATACCTCGTTATTCAACATAATTCATTTACCTCAAAACCGTTTTGGCGAAAACCTCCACGATGATTCTCTTTTTGTTTCAGGTTACAATCCGTCATGAATGGAGTGAACTAAGTGGATGAGAAAGGTCCAATAATGCGTTCGACACCCGTGAAATCCAATAAAAAAACAATGAAGACCGGCAACAAAAAGCCGGTCGCCTATAAAAACAAAAAGTTGGCAGGCATTAAATCTCCGATTCGCGATACAATTTCTGAAACTATATCGTTCGTCATCAAAGGAAAATTGACGCCAATGAAACCTATTCTCATAGAAAATAGGATAGATTTAACGGCCAAAGGTAACAAAAAACCTCAAAAGTGCGGTAGAGTCGTGAAGAAAAGGAATCAAGTAAGGATAAAATCAGATATAAAAACAATTAAGAAGGTGCAAGAGGAAATTCCCCAGATCAAAACTCGAGTCCAAATGAAAACTGCCAAAAAACCAAGTGCCCTGAGTAGTTGTAAGAGAAATACGGATAAAAAATCAGAGAAAATGTCAGTGAATGAGATTTCTCGAACACCAAAGAAAAGCACCAAATCTACAAAGGCAGTTCTTTCTATGGCGAAGAAATCTGCCAGGACCAAAGTTGAGAAAATGAAAAACACAAAAAAGATTAGAGCTAAGAAGAATCAAAAGCCACCAGCTAAAAGAGTTCAGCGACAAACTAACGCAGGAGTACATCCCTTTCTGTCACCTGAAAATGAAGACGAAGACGAAATAAAAAAACAACAAACAATAGAACAGTTACTGAAAGAGGTGAATGAGGAGATGAAACCCAAAACTTCCTCCAAACTCAAATGTAACAAAAATAAAATCAGGGCCAAAACCAAGCAACAAACTCTACCAGACAAAATGAAAAAATCTTCCATTTCCAATGAAACGAATAACGATTCGAAAAAAACTGATTACAATATAGCTCCTTCTGTCGAAAAAGCCATAAAAGTAGAGGTGGTCGATTCTCCCGGGGAATTATCAGATGAAATTCCATTGAAGATGTTGTCCGAGTTGAAGACTTCCTGTATGCCAGTTGAAAATATCAAGAGTGAACCTTTATCAGATATAGAACCATGCTCTCCCCCCACCGTCAAGAAAAAACAGTATCGCAAACTCAAAACACAACCAAAAGTAACCTTAATCAAGAAACGCGTCATTTCCTCCAAAGATAAGGTCTCAAAAGAAGAGCAGAGAAGGAAAACCAAACTGTTCAGGTTTTGGAATGGACCCAAAAGACACAGGGTTGCCTCTTTGAACGCTCTTGCCAAGGTGCACTGCCTTTACGAAAATGAGACCAGGGGAAATATGTTGGATATTATTGATGAGTCTTCGAAACTAGCATATGCACCAAAAAGGGACCAAGCGAAGTGCAAGGTACCGAAAATCAAAAAAGAAACCCATGACGATGACTTGGAGAACACTCCATCACCCCCTTCTACGAGAACGTTGCGATCTGTTCCAGGACTGCGCGCTGTTGGGAAACACTGGGACATGCACGATACAACGTCTAGTTCTGAAGACGAGGAGAGTAACAGGTTGGAGGTGTGTCCTGTGAAAGCGGTGAAGAAGGAGAAAGCTCCTAAACAAAAGCCAGAGAAGGTTAAAGCACCTAAGGAAAAACCACGTAGAAAAAATGAGGTGGTGATGGATCTCAAGGACATGGTAGTATGCAAGCGTATGGCTAGTCTGAACGCCAGCGCTATTTTAGCTGCAAGCTACTCTCCGGAAAAACGCCCTTCCAAGTCATCGAGAGACTTCGATGACTCTTCTTCTTACGCGAGTGCTTCCTCGGAAGAATATTTTGCCGCTTCCGATAACGAAATCAAAGAAGGCGTTGTTAAAAAGGAGGTGGGGGAGGATGAGGAGGACGGTAAAGTGTTGGAAGTGCATACTCCGAATAACAAAGTGGCCGTTATTCTCAATCAAGATACAGACGTAACAATCACGGGGGTCTATGTTAATAGTACCACGCGGTCCACTCACCACGAAGGTTACTGCAGCATCGCAGGAATGCAGTACAGAATTTCAGCTACAAGTCATACGCAGACCGCCGCTACTGCTGTCGCTACTGAGACGCTTTTGCAATCGTCATCAAGTAGCGCCCCGGACAATGTAAGTTAATTATGTAGAAAAACTATAATTAATAAAATACATGCAATAACTCTTATTGTTAAAAAAATAACTGAGAATTCAATGAAATGAAATAAATAAGTTGACGAGAAAGATAATTATTAATATATAATATATAGCGTATACAGAACTGAATTTTCAGGAAACATATAAACAGCGTGACTCACGCTCGATGGTAGGTTAGACGTTTCTGGAAAACGCAAAGCATGATTTTTCTGAAAATTTCATCTCTGACATTTCCTTACCTGTTCTATCGATCTAAAATATTTTCAGCATTGCGGCGTTGCCACTTTCATCAAAAAGTCCTAGCAACTTTATTTTTTTGAATGGAACAACCCGTATATTGATACATTTTTGGAATTGTTCTGGTATTTTAATACTTTTTTGTTAATAATGTCCTATACCTATTTTATCGACGGTGTTTCGAATCATCTTCCAAAATGAATGCTAATATCGATTATTCAAACGAAGTTCTTATGAAATTATTTATTATACACATGAACAAAGTGATCAAATCATTGTCAGAACGTGTAAAAAATTCAACCAAATGTATCCCAATTTAACACCAATGAACGAGAGGAAGCTTGTAAGGTTACAAAATAATTTCCTTAACTATGGCTCAAAGTTTCCAGGGAACAACTGTACCAAAAATCAGTCATTTCTAGGTAAAAAGTAAGATTTTTTGGGCTAAAACATGTGAAAGTACAGACAATAGCAGAATAGGATGATTCAAAATAACAAAATTGTAAACAAAATATCACATTTTCACAATAAATGCTGAAAATGTTGTGCATTACATTCTAAACACTTCAAAATGTGTTTTTGTTCGTGACTTGTGGTTGCTTTTTCAATTTCCTGGGGATCCAGATCTTCAATACTCCGCACTATTCGCCGTCGCAATTCTTCTTTGGTAGGCACTGGAGTACTGTATACCCTTTCTTTTAAAACACTCCATAAAAAAAGTCAAGTGGTGTGAGATCGGGTGATCTCGGTGGCCAATCCCACGGCTCTAAACGCCTAAACCAACGATCGTCGAAGAGTTCGTCAAGTTTCCTGGAAACTTCCTGGGTGGAATGAGCTGGCGCTCCGTCCAGTTGAAACCACGAATTCCTATATTCCTCTAAAGGCAAATTTTCAAGAAAATCGGTTACAGTCGTCCTTAATATTTGGAGATATCTCTCTGCATTCAGTGTGTCTTCATAAATAAAAAAGCTAATTTTATTGTTCTTCAGAATACAGAAAACATTCAGGTCAAATTTTTTTTGAAAACCCATTTTTTTTTAACATGAGGATTATGATCAGCCAAAAAATATTTATTCCTTCTATTGGAAATACCATCTCTCGTATATTTTGATTCGTCGCTCCAAATTATTTTTGATAAAAATTCCCGATCTTCTTGTGTATGAAACAAAAGGGATTCACAAAAATGCATTCTACGTTCGAAGTCTCCTACTTTTAGAGCTTGAAGTTTGGTAAATTTATACGGATCCATTCCGTGATTTTTCTAAATTCGTTGTACTGAAGCATGTGATATACCTAAATATTTTTCTGCACTGCGAATGGAAGCTTCTGGATATGCATAAAAATATGCCAAAACGTTAACAGTATTGTCCTCATTTGAAGTAACAGGTTTTGGCTTTATTAAGAAAACTTGACGATTTAGGTATAGGGACATGTATGTCATCTTGAAGCATTTACCACCATCTTTCAATTTATCTAGTAATATACAGGGGGTTTCATTTGAAAAAATGAACTTTCGACTACTTTTATGCACAATGGAAATAATAGTAATTTTAGCACGGCCTGTATGATATGGAGTCGATTTCTTGGTGTTATTTGAATATTTCGAGTTCGTCCAAACTATCATCAAAATATCAACTTTTCATGAATTAAGAGTACTGATGTACTTAATTTCGATTAAGGCTATGTTTTGGACCATATTTAGCACAATTTATTTTTTATCTCGAAAAGAGATAGAGATAGGTATAGAACATTATTAACAAAAAAGTATTAAAATACCAGAGCGATTCCAAAAATGTATTAATATACGGGGTGTTCTATTTCAAAAAATAAAGTTGCTGGGACTTTTTGATGGAAGTGGCAACGCCGCAATGCTGAAAATATTTTAGATCGATAGTACAAGTAAGGGAATGTGAGAGGTGAAATTTTCAGAAAAATCATGCTTTGCGTTTTCCAGAAACGTCTAAACTACCATCGACTGTGAGTCACGCTGTATAAAAAAGTGACAAATTGCAAATTAACAAATAAAATACAATCGAAGCCTATAAATAACAGTACAACTCTGACAAGACAATGAATTAATTTATAAGTAATTATACACAAATGAATTTTTTGAAACTAGATGTCATTTTGGTAAATAACATTAAAAAAAAACACTATCGTCTATCGAGTTCTGCATTCTGCTTTTGTTTATTTCTTAATCAAAAAAAAAATATTTTTCTTTATAAAAAACTGTATGAATGGGTTTATTCCGATAACCAACCCAATTGTTGTCCGCATACGAATGAGATCCCTAAAATTTTTAAACTTATCTGAGGTCGTATTGTTTGACATACGATTCCTAGCAAGTTGAAAGGTGCTTAAATATTTCTTGATAAGAATATGGCGCTGTTGGCATGATGTAATAGTTTCTCCAATAGAGATAAAAATTTCAAAGCAACCTATGATCTTCTTTGAAAGAAATACTTTTTACTATATAACTGGAAAGCTTTCAGTTGTGCAAATAAAAACTACAAACCTAGAGACTAGAATAACATTATTCATGTATTTTTCAGAGCAATAGTGACTCAATGCCTTCTTCTAAATCTTACACTCCTCTTGACGCCTTGTCCAATATGCAACCTCCACCAGGACCAGGCATCCAGCACAATCATCCTGTAGTTCACGGCCAGCAGCCTATGGGTCCTCCTCAGCATGTTCATCCAATGCCTCCTCATCAGATGTCACCAGGTACGATTAGAGTTATATATTATCAAATTAAATACATCTGTTGAGAAAAGTAACGCTTTCGTAAAGGCTGGTCAAAAACTAATATATAAGGATACATTGGAAAGAGAAACAGATCCCTTCAAAATGTTATGCCACTTGACCACCTGCCCATTTTAGACTCTGGTAGATCAGGCTAGGTCAGGTTCAACGATAGTTTATTATTTTGGTAACAGATTTCAAAGAATGTATGAATGTGTTGAAATGGGACAGTCCTGATAGATTTTGCGAGAAATCTGAAACTCTATTTTCAGTCCAGGTTTTCCAGTGTTTGTTTGAAACTTCTTTCAGTTCCCTCCATTGCAGGGAAGTCATCAGCTTCATCTTATTCCAGACAAGTATGGACAAGCAGCTAACCAGAGACAATTTGTTGAGCCTTCTTATTTTGTAATTTCACTACCAACTTGGAAGTTGCTCGATGAAACCTAAATGCTTCCAGAATGACTTACTCATCTGATAATTTTTTTATTGATTTGAATATGGTTGGTTTTCTCCAGTCTCTTCACAAAAAATCAATGTTTCTCCCTGAAATTTACTCCTCGAAAGAGATTAAATATGCCTATGACCCAACGATATAGATGACGTGGAGTTTATTTGAAGGATATCCCTAAGAGCAACTGTAAACAACCAAAAGATCCAAAAAGGTCAATGATTATGTCGTGTTTTCTTACAGGGCTTCGTCATAGTTGCTCCAGTGCATTTTCTTCTCCTCTCTCTACACCAAACTATCAGATTCCACCAGGACATCATCCACCAATACAAGGAGAACCAGGATTTATTCACGGTAAGTGACAATAATTTTTTTTTACAGGAGTAAACTCGGTTCTTGTGTATACAATAGCGAACAACTCTTTCATTTGTGCCTATAGCAGAATTGAATTCAACTGAAAGTTGAGAAAACTATAGGAAAGAAGATATCAACTGAATCGTCATCCTTTTCATTATAATAGCGTTTTTTGACACATTTTCAGCTATTAAATTCGATAAACATCTTCACTGACTATCCATGTCACCTCTATTTCGCCACCATATCCTCTCCTTGGTGATAGGATTGGCATTAAATCTTGGGTGTTGCGTAGATCCCTTGGTCTCCCAGAATGAGCCCGAGGGATATTGAGGCTCAGGTCCTGTCTGGGTCCTGTCTGTTAACTAGCCCTGTCAGCACTAGCAACTCCAGTACTATGTCATCCTCGAGGCAGCCCCCTAGTCTTCCTCAATATTCTAACTCTTCTGTTAGGGTGGCATGTATCTATGCAAATCTGGGTCACTCCGGTTGAGGTAGATCTACCTCCCGGAACTTCTAAGAGTTTTTTTCGGGGCCATCGCGATGTTATGTGTCAGATTCCGTTTGTCATTTCCTCGTTTCGTTGACTTGATTCGTTGATTCTGCAGTACTTGTGCTCATAATCTAGGAGACAAAATCAAACCCACGCCATTAACAGTATAATATCGTACAAGAGGTGTCTCGATCCCAAAGGGAAAGATTCACGGGCAATATAAAAAATAAGTTTCACCCTTCATTTGAGTCTGATTTTTTACTTACAAGATATACAGGTTGAAACTGAATTAGTATGAAAAGGTAAACAAAGCCTAACTGTTGTACCGTACTCTCGGATGACGGCCGTTTTCAGGATGGATCACAAAAGGATTCAATGCACAGTAAATGGTGGAGTCGCTAATGTAGTAGTCGAAAGCTAAGGATAGACTCACAGTCAAGGCTTTCAATCCCACTCTTAAACCTAAGCTATATTGTCACCGTTTTTTTTCAGCACTCGGTACTTCGGGAACTCTAGTACTGATCGACTTTTTCTTCAAGTGGTTTGCATGCTGTCCTTCCTAATGAAACTCTATCGAAAATAAATCTAAAATACACTTTTTTTACTATTACACAGTTTTTTACTATTATCGTCTTAGTATGTTGATTTCATTTAATGCGTCATTGTCGCATGGTGGGTTCCTACAACATTTACTCGAGAACGACCATCCCTAACCTTTGCCTAGTTAATAATTCTCTGAAATTGGTATACCGGACATCTTGTTTTCCACCATTTTGGATTTTTTCACCTCTTTACAAAGTTCTTCCTCTTTAAGACTTTGCTATATTAAATTTGAAGTAACATCATTTCATTTTCCGAATGATACCTATAGCATAGAGGTGCATAAAAACTACTCCGCCATTTTGGGCAGTTCGCCATATTAGATTTAGAGTGATGTTATTTCATTGCGTACTTTTTTAGCAGCCCCTTTCATTTGATTTTCGTATCACGAGTGTGTTTAGAGTGATGTCATATTATTTTTCGTATTCTTCGCAGGAAACCATTTCATTTGATACCCATATCAAATTTTTGTGGGATTCTGGTGAGTTTTTTTTACATGTGTCCAGCAATTCTTCAAACTGCTCCCTCCATTCTCTGGAATGTCATCTTCAATACTTGTGGATGTTACTTTTTTCCGCTTCATAATTTTCAGTGTTCCAAAGAATAGTTTTTAATTTTCGATATAAATATTTAACATATTTGAAATTTAATACTTCTCGTAATATTTCCCCTGATTCATTGTTTTTTATATAAGTATTATCTGCATCTTCTATTTTCAGAGTTTGTTCAACTCTATTCATATAATGAACGAAATTCGAAGTTGTCTAGTCAGTAATTCTGAAGAAGTTTTTCTCGCGAAATATTGAAAACCTCACAAGAGAAATCTTTGTCAAATTCGAATTCGCTTTCCTTCAATAATGCCATACATTTAATCTTCCACAATCTGAAGAATGAACAAAGTTGAACCAGAAGAGAAACGTTAACTCCGCCACAAAAAAAGTCTTTCAATGATCACCATTCTACACCAAACCTACTAACTTTGAATATTATAGGATTTACTCCTAGATTTTAATACACTCATCATTAATATTCCTCTCGCCTAACTTAGAACACCTGTTTTGCTACACAATAAATGACATTATTGTGAAGTAAGATGATTTCTCAAACTTTCCCTGAACATCATTTCAGCAAAATGTATTTTCTGTTAGGAAATGCTTTTGTTTTGTACTAAATGAATAGAGAACTAAAAGCGTCATATCAAACAAGAACTTTTTGATTAATTATATTCGTGGGATATCCAACAGTTTCATTGTGATTTTGACCAAAGTTAGAGCGTCGGTTAAAGTAGATGAAAGCTTTGTTTATCAATGTCATGCTGATGTAAACATGGGAGGATATCAATTGTGTTGATATCGGTTAATTAATGGTTGGAAAATATCAGAAAACAGAATTTAAAATCAAAACGTAGTGCCGGCTATAAATTTGTGTTTCTCTCCCAATAGCTTTATTCAATAGTTAAATTGTTGAGTAACATTTTGTAGGATGTTAATAATCATCAAATTTTGAAATATAATATAATGAATCTCGTTTCAATCAGACCACGGTTATGTGAAAATTTTAAAAGAATATAACATAAAAATCAATCCTTATATATTAAAATGTGATATAACAGATCACTACATGATACTGTTATTGGTAAAACTTGATGAAAGTTTGAAAAAAACCGATTTCTGCACGGGAAACTCATACACTGTCATCAAGTATAATAAGCTCGTGAAAGCACTGAAGAAAGAGACTTGAGAGTCTATCATGCAATCCAGAGATCCAGAATCTGCATGCAATACCTTTATTGTTGAACTAGAAAAGCATATTGATAATTGTAGAGAAGTAAAAAAAAATTACTGAACAGGGCGTGCTAAAATTACTATTATTTCCATTGTGCATAAAAGTAGTCGAAAGTTCATTTTTTCAAATGAAACCCCCTGTATATTACTCGGTAAATTGAAAGATGGTGAAAAATGCTTCAAGATGATATATCATGTCCCTATACCTAAATCGTCAAGTTTTCTCAATAAAGTCGCTTCTTCTAGTAACATTATTTTTTTTAGAATTTGGATTTAGGTAGCAGTGGAATTATCAAGCTTATAGCAGTTCGGTTACTTTTATAAGTAATTTACAAAGAGTTATCGACGGTGTTTCGAATCATCTTCCAAAATGAATGCAAATATCGATTATTCAAACGAAGTTCTTATGAAATTATTTATTATACACATGAACAAAGTGATCAAATCATGGTCAGAACGTGTAAAAAATTCAACCAAATGTATCGTGAATTAACACCAATGAACGAGAGGAAGTTTGTAAGGTTACATAATAATTTCCTCAACTATGGCTCAAAGTTTCCAGGGAACAACTGTACCAAAAATCAGTCATTTCTAGGTAAAAAGTAAAATTTTGTAGGCTAAAACATGTGAAAGTACAGACAATAACAGAATAGGATGATTCAAAATAACAAAATTATTAACAAAATATCACATTTTCACAATAAATGCTGAAAATGTTGTCCATTACATTCTAAACACTTTAAATTGTTTTTTTGTACGCGACTTGTGGTTGCTTTTTCAATTTCCTGGGGATCCAGATCTTCAATACAATACAATACAATACAAAATAACGTGAGTTGGCGTATGTAGTTGTAACATATGCCTTGTAATCCAAAGATCGTGTGTTCAAATCCCATGGACCCTATAATTTTTTTTATTATCAGCAGTAACGTTATACAAAAAAATTTGTATGATACATTTGTTGAAAGTGATTTTATTTTGCTCGTGAGTTTGCTACACTTGCTGACGCTCGTTTTGCAATAATCCCCACTCACAAAATAAAATGCCACTTTCAACACTTGTAGGTAAAACGTGAATAACTATTTTTCAACAAAAACGGCTTTATTAAGAAAACTCGATGATTTAGATATAGGGACATGTATATCATCTTGAAGCATTTTTCACCATCTATCAATTTATCGAGTTTCATCGAGGTTTATCGAGAGAGTTTCATTTGAAAAAATGAACTTTCGACTACTTTTATGCACAATGGAAATAATAGTAATTTTAGCACGCCCTGTATAATATGGAGTTTGTCCAAACTATCATCAAAATATCAACTTTTCATGAATTGAGAGTACTGATGTACTTAAGTTCAATTAAGGCTATGTTTTGGACCATATTTAGCACAATTTATTTTTTATCTCGAAAACAAATAGAGATAGGTATAGGACATTATTAACAAAAAAGTATTAAAATACCAGAGCGATTCCAAAAATGTATTAATATACGGGTTGTTCCATTCAAAAAAATAAAGTTGCTAGGACTTTTTGATGGAAGTGGCAACGCTGCAAAGCTGAAAATATTTTAGATCGATAAAACAGGTAAGGAAATGTGAGAGGTGAAATTTTCAGAAAAATCATGCTTTGCGTTTTCCAGAAACGTCTAACCTACCATCGACCGTGAGTCACGCTGTATACCCCGTTTTAGAAAGCCGCAATGATATCACCAATTCAATATTCCTACACCCAGTCACAAGAAACGAGTTGATCGATATAATTTCCGGATTAAAAAATAACTTCTCCTGGTCCCGATAAGATATCTATTTTCCTCATCAAAAAGTTCCACAAGTAATTTTTATAACCCATAGGTCACATTTTGAATTTAATAGTTACTGTAGGAAAAATACCTAAATCTTTCAACGACTCAATCACGATTTTTAAGTCTGGTGATTAGTAACAAACTTTCGACCCATAACTATGATTAATAAATTCTCTAAAATATTCGAAAAATATCTCAAAAATAGAGTTATACTATTTGGCAATAATCACAACATTTTTTCTGAATCACAATATGGTTTTCTAGAAAACAGATCAACAGAAAACGCAGTTTGAAGACTATTTGGCAAATAGAACACAGATTGT